TGGATATGAATTGAAGATGAAAGTACATTGTTTATTTTTTAATTAGATTACTTTAATCTCATTTATACATGGTTCTTCTACTGTTCTTCCCATCAGCAATAGTGAAGAAAAACCATTGTTTTAGAGTGACTTCCAAAATACAAACCATACGGTTCATACAGCATCCAGCAGGAGACAGACTACCTGTTATTGCTTTTTTAGCTCATTTTTATGAAACTGGCTGGCTTTCAGTTCAGAGACATTCTTTAATAATACTTACATTTTTCATTCTATAGTGCATTCCTTTCAAGGATTTTAAATTGCTCAGGAGATCTTGAAAATTCCAGTGCAAACCTTTGGATGTATGAGAGGTTTTTATTTTCAGGTAGCTGGCTCTCAGTTAACTTGAGACAGTCACTTTTTCCAAAAGCCAGTGTGACCACTTTGATTCCAGGCTGTTTGGTTCCCTCAGTGTTTGCCCCTCACTTTAGGAATCAGCCACTGTAAAGTAACAGACATTTCCAAACTCAGAAAGGACCAGTGCAGCCTCTCAGCCCTGCTAAGTGCCTTAAGTTAATTTGTAATTAGCTTGATGTAAGGAAAGGACCAGTGCAGGCAATCCCAAAATGGCTAGGCAGTCTCAAATATAAGCAAAATAGGCCAGTCAGAGCATTAAAGCAAGAGAATTTAATGCCAACTGATTGCTTTTCAAGAAGACCTGTGGTTTTTCACTGCCTTTGTGTTTGACTTGTAAACTGGGTGCAGAGCTCTATCACTGGCAGGTTCACATGATGGGGAGTGTACCAAAAACACAGGTCATGTTTTTGTTTCTGTTTGATACCTTATTTATATATGATTTACATGGATAAACTACGAAAAATTAACTGTCCAGGCTGTAATTTAATCTAAAATAAAGACAGACTAAAACTACAGCAATTTAGTGGATTGTGTGGATTAGTGAGATATCCTGGTATATAACAGCAATAGCAACAATTTATTCCCCAATTTAGTAATGCTTAAAATCTGCAATCCAGAGTCACTCCATGATATGCAAATCCTTTACAAAATTTGCTTCCCTTTTTCAGACTCAGGATCCTCTGCTATACAGGGAAACCCCAAAGACTGACTCAGTATAACTTTGTATTGGAAAATCATGTATAGAAAATCATTAGTGCAATGGATTTATTCAGACCATCTTTTTGCCATTCTTGCTTACACAATCCTTTACAGATGGTGATGTCCATTTCTCTCCTACATTTCTGCTGGACTTCATGCCTGGATGAACTTTGTTTTTTTTTAATTTTAATGTTTATTCGTTAAATCTTCCCAATCCCTGCAAAATCTCCTCTTTGTCCATGACCCATCTTGGTCCTGAGTCCATGAAACATCATGTTCCCTGCAGCAGCCAAATAATGAAAACAGGGATTCTCCTGAAAAATTAAGAAATATTAAATAGGTTACCATTTAAAAATTAATGAGAATTTGCTGATGAGCATATTTTAGGTCCAGGTGTAATACCCTCCCTCCACCTCACCTTGTGGAAACCTGAATTAGCTCTGCCATACCCTTGGGTTAATATTCATCCATCTGAAATCTGGCAGTCACATCCCTGCCCCTCAAGACCTCTCCACCCGTGTGCAAATACAGTGAATCTCTCCTGACTTTCATGCCATCTCAGTAGATTTCCACACGTTGTAGCCAAGCTGGGGATTTGGCCCAGTGTCTTTTTTAAACCCTGTGACCCAGACGTGGAGATTAAAAAAGAGTTATGTTATCGGATTAAACAGATACAAGAGGCACTCGCTGTATCAGCATCCAACACCTTAAAACTCCAGCAAGTACATCAGCATGGTAATGGCAAAAATAGTCTCTGGGAGAGAGGGAAAACTCAAAGGAAGGTGATGGCAAACCCTTCCTTTGGGCTGGGGTGCAGAAACCTGCCACTCTGACTGGTTGCCAAAGCAGCCACAGGGATATGGTGTTCTGCTTGCTACAGCATCTTGATACAGGATACACTCGAGGTATAAAAGTCATTTGGACTCCACCTACCTGTAGCCAGAGTGATTTTGGCCTTAGTTAGGTTTGGGTAAATATCTTCACAGTGGGGTTTTTAAGGGGTTAGGCTTGACTGCGTTACAAACTGCATCAGCAGACACTGAAATCAATAAAGTTGCAGAAGCAAAAATTCTAACAGATTGAAAACAGACCTACATGAAAAGAATAGTAATGTCAGGCACCATTTGCATGCTTAATATTATACACATGCTTATGCTTTGTAATTTGGGCTCTAACTTGTGATTTTGGTTACATAAGAGAGTGGAAAAGCCAGAAGCATTAGTGCTGCTGTGCACCACTGCAGCTGAAGGCAGAGTTCACCCAAATATTCATCAGGCACATTCTCAGAAGTTGTGCTGTCTCATAATGAAATAGCAAATAGCAATGTGCACATTTATGACACAAAAGGGCATTATTATTATTATTATTATTATTATTATTATTATTATTATTATTATTATTATTATTATTATTATTATTATTATTATCATTATTATTATTATTATTATTATTATTGGTTCCAGGTACTGCCTCTGACTTCAAAACAGCTTTGGCTGTTGGTCTTTTACCCCAAACATTTTATGTTTAAACACATAGAACAACCATGTGCTTTGTGTGGCTCACTTTTAATGAGTGAGGAGCAACAGAAGAAGAGAGCAAGAGACAAAATACAGACTGATTCCTCTAGAGAACTAGAGCAAAATATTCCACTGCTGTCAGTGGTACAGCTGTGCTGGCAGGAGCCTTCACACAGACAAGGCTCCAGCCACTACTTACATTTCACTGATGTGACTGCTGGCTCCTAATCTGCATCTAGGCATCCTCACTGCAACCAAACAAGTGGCTGAGCCGGTGAGAAACCTTTTGCTTCACTGCTTAGTGCAGCCAGAGCCGCCTGTTTGTGGTCCCTCGTGGAGCCTCACAAAATTTGAGCCGCCTCCTGCAAAGGATGCCTACGAATCAAAGTTGCAGTACACAAGAAACCTGAATCAGAAGACGTAGGTGGCAGCACGGACTTCATCCTTCGAGTTTAAACGAGGCTGTTCAGTGGGGATATGTCATCAATTAGCTGTGTATATCCTATCTCTATCTGGTTTTCTTCTAAAAACCTACTCACGTTCCAAATCAGCTCGGATATGGAAAATCACAGAATGGACTGGAGTAAGGGAAAATCGGCTGTGTGACTGCGGCACAGGGTTTTTAGCATGCTGTATTGCCATCAAAAGGCGTGCAGAATGGTGCAGCTTTTGCAAGAACTAGCTAAGGAAATCAGCCTTTTCTGAGATCTCTCCGGAGGCTGTGATGGAATTTGATCCCCCCAGCAGCCTATAGGTTATGGGCCCCGGAGCTGGTTCTCCAGTAATTGCTGTCCTCGTTTGTGGTGTAGAAAGGTAGTATCCTGTATTCGGGAAAACCTAGAGAGCAGAGGCATGGGAGCTATTCACTCTCCTTCGGTCCATCCCTCCTGTACCCAGTGCAAGGTTAGCACCGTGAGACTTCTGTGAAACACAGATGGCCCAAAATCTCCTTTTCACCTCAACTGTACCCCCACAATGCAAATGGTATTTTGCAGTACAGAGGCTCTTACTAAGTCTTCAGCAGGGGTTATATGAAAATGCCGAGACACTGCTGCTGTATCCTTTCATCAAGAGAACCAGGGGGATGCAGGTAGGAGAGCAAGGACGTATTTGAGTCATATACCCGTTCGCCCGCAGGGGAGGAGAACCGGCTTTCGGTTCTGTGAAACCCGAGGCAAAACAGAACGTTGCCCTGCTCGTTTTCCCCGCCGATCGCCCCGGCCGTACTTTGTTCTCCCGCTGCCACCGGGACTTTCCGGTGCCGGGGATCGCGCTTTAGGCAGGCGGCAGGGCAGAGCAGGGACATGCCAGCCTCCCAGGCACCTGCCAGAGCACGCTCCCGTGTTGCCTCCTCCAGCAGCAGACGGCTCCGGGACCAAACCTGTCCCCAAAGCCTGGCAGAGCGGCACCGGGTCCAGTCCGCCGGGGGGCCGGAGAGAAAAGCGGAGCAGCAAAGCCAGGGCCCAGAAGCAGGGACGGGCAGCGCCGGTGACAGCGTCGTGGGATGCTTTTTCTGTAAGAAGGACACTCTTTGTGTAAAGATGAAAAAATAACGATTAAAAAAAAAAAATGTTCGAAAATGAGAACTACCGAGACGAGCTCAGCGGCTGGGAGCCCTCGCTCGGCGGGCCGGGTCCCTCGGGCCGGCTCGGGGCGGCCCCGCTCCGCTCCCGCTGCCCGCGGGGGAGGGCGGGCGGCCCGGGCGGCCCCCCCGAGGCGGCGGCCGCTGCCCCGCACCCGCCCGCCCCTCCCCGCCGGCCCGCGGCCGCCTGCCAGCCCGGGCTCCGCCGCCGTGTCTGCGGCATGGCCCCTCCTCCCCCACACCCCTTCCTTTAGGCTCCCCCCTCCCCAGCAAAGAAGAGGCCGTGCCGGTGTTTTTCCACTCAGCAGGATGGGTGATGCTCAAAGCTCCCTCATTAGACAACAGACACGAGAGGTCAGGAAGAAAGCGCTTATAAATTACCGTTTCCTCCTGCTCGGCGCTGCTAGTCGCGCCGCACCGCTCCGCCGGACGCGCCGCAGGGGCGCAGCGGCGCGCAGGCACCGCGGCCAGCGGACACAGGTACAGGTACCGGCACCTCCCGGGCGGGAGGGCGGGCTGGGGCTGGGGCTGCCGCTGCTGCTACCGCTGCTGTCGCTGCCGCCGCTGCGGTGGTGGCGGTGGCGGTGGCGGAGCGGCGCGGATCGCCCCTCGCAGCCGCGGCGAACAAAGGGGCGGCCGCTCCGCGCCCAGCGGAGCCGAACCGAGCCGGGCCGGTGGCGGCGGCATCCCTTTGTCCGCCTCGACTCGGGGTGCCCTCGGGTGCGCTTTCCCTTCCCCCCCCCACCTTCCATTTATATATTATTTCATCCTTCTCCTTAAAGCCCCCTCTTCCCCAGCTCTCGCATTACCTCCGCGGTGTTTTTCCTCCCCAGAGGTTGTTTACCCCACACCCCCCCACACCTTGTGTTAACTTTTTTTGGCGATAAGGTTCTCAGCCATTCCCCGTTGGCGGCCCTCCAGCACATCGACAGCGCACGCTTCTCTCCCCGGCTATTTTTGCCCATTTTATCTGCCACCCCTCCCCACTGTGCTTTCTCTATCTGCCGTGCGCTAACCTCGAGTGAAGAGACTGGTACAGGCAATGCTACATCTGATGCTAATGGGCCTACCTGGTGGGTAATACCGCTGCTGCTGCTTTCTTGTGATTTCCCTCATTTTCTTTTTTATTCCCCTCATTTTCCTTTTATTTTGTGGGTTCTTGATGTGCTGAAATTAAAGTAGTGATGGGGCTTGGAAATAAATACAGGGACTACACAGGGCATGTTACCAAGCTCAGCATGGTGCGAAGAGGTGATAATTCTAGGTTCGTCTGGGGGTAACTTGGATCCAAAATTCACCCACTGGCTTTAAGATAATGAATGCCCATTGCTGCCTGGTATTATAGCAGGAGGTATGTGGGAGGACTCACAAGGTTTCCATATAAGAGCATGGGAGAATTTATTTCACCCAGGCGAAGAAATGTGCAGAGTATGTGTTATTTATGACGCTGAAGGCAAGCTGTGTTGTTCTTAGGCAGCTCCAAGAGTGGCAAAACTTGGTATTTAGAAATTGTAGAAGCTGATTTCTGCTGTTTAATAAGAGCTATGTTTAAAGGGAAGCACGGATGAAAATAAAAAACAGGAAAAAGTAGTGGGAGAGGACCCAGATAAACACCAAGAAATACAACGCCACACTTATTCCAGCACAGTTTGTGCCAAGGTGTAAAGATGGAGGTTTTTGATGAGTTCCTGTGTTTTTTAACCGTATTGGGAAAGGCATTAAGAAAATGTGCCGAGAGGAGCTGGTTACGTTGATAGTGCTATTTTGGTAACTGCATTTTTTTTATTGCTTGCATGTGAAAATGTTTTGAGTTTTGGACTAGCAAAACAGCAAGGCAGTCCTGACAGGGACCCATGTCATCAGCTGTGTAATTCAGGGCTCGGGTGACAGTTGCTACCGGTTTAGATTTTATGGCTTTAGGTTTGAGGGTAAATCAGCCCGTTAAAACCTGCTGCTGTGGAATTTTGATGGGCGAGGCTTTGGTGAGATCTCTGATGGTTGTTGACAGCCGGGTGTTTACCTCTGGGTCTGTGTTCAGCCGAGCTGACTGCTTTCTGGCACTGCCTACCTTTGCCACAAGTGTTACGGAAAGGTTTCCTTGAAGGTTATTGGGGTTTTTTTTAAGCAAAATGTGTGAGCAGCTGAGGCAGCCAGCAGCGTGACAGTGACAGCGTCCCTTGCCCGGACCAAGCCAAGTCTGAAGCACAAGTGAGGAAGGAGGATGTCTGTGCTGCCCTGGTTAAACTGACATTGGAAACTTTATTTTTGGTACTTTCAGAGATAGTATCTTCCTGTTTCCCCGTCAGCTGTCTCTTCGGTAAGAGAACATGCTTTGCATGTTCTCTTTTTGTCTTCTTTCTGTTTATTTGCCTTTCACCTCTGTCCTTTCCCCTTCCCACCTCTCCTGCCTGGGTGCCCAGCACAGTTCCCACTGGAGGGCGGCAGGCAGACACCTTTCCCTGCCTGGGGCTGCCCGGGCACCCCGGCCCGCAGCTGCTTCTTGCTGACACTGATGAACCTGCTCCTTTCACCTGCACTGTCAGGGCTCCTTTCTGTCATACTTGCCAAAAAAGCAGGAGGTCGCAGGTGGCACCGTGATACCTTTAGGCCCTGAGAAGGTGGATGCGTACTCAGGGGTGCTGCATCGAAATCCTGGGGCATTTGGTTTGTTTGCTTAAGGAATCTTGGTTTGCAGTCTTTCAAATGCTACAGACTTCTGTTTTATTTTCTTTTTCTGTAACCGGAAACAAAATTTGGCATACGGCTCTTCATTGGTAGTTTCAAATGTGGAGCTTTTGTGTGGGTTGCCTGGAGCTTTCATGTCAGAGGTGAAATGTTGGGGCAATGGCAGGAGACTTCAGTCGGTGTGAAATGCTGGCAGAAAAGAGGTGCCACATTGTCCTGGAAAACTAGGAAGACACTTCAGGTTGGCTGGCTCTTGCTGCAGAGTGCTTGGGAAACCTCCCATGCCTGAGTGGAGTTCTGTTTGTAAAGCCTTGGTGAGGATCTTGTCCTACAGCTAATCATTACTAATATTTCAGTGAGGGTTTTTTAAAATCAATATTCTTAGTGTATCTTAGTGGCTTCCAGCCAGGTCGTATGGGCTGGATGTTTCCAAAGAGACTCTTGGGCACTTTCCAGACAGTGATATTCCTAGGATTTTCATCAATGCGCATCAAGGCTTAGCAGCAACCCCCTATTATTTTAATTATGTCCCTTCTATGTTTTCCAATGCCCCATATTTTTGTCCCAGTGGGCAGTGGGGCAATGTTGCACCAATGCCCCAGTGGCAGTGCTGCCAGTTCCACCAGTAAGGGGAGTCTCTGAAGTGGTGCCATACCTGGGGTTTTAATCATGCTGGCAAACAACTCTGAAAAGATTATGCTGATTAGTTTCTTATAAATTAAACCATATTACAACACTTAAAAATTGATGGGAAAGCCATGGTAGTTGCAGTCTTTTGTAAGTAATGTTTATTTGATTGGTCATATGAATAAATTGTAGATCATTTAAGAAGTGAAGCTTTGAATAGATTACCCAGTCGGATTAGTGTCCTCGACTTCTTTTCATCACTAACTTAATGACCAGAATGGATCAGGGTTATTTATTTTAAAAGTAATCCTGTGTCTGCTCCAGTAAGAGCTCTATACACAGAACTAAAATTTATTCTAATGGTACTCTAGGGGGGCTGCTTGCAGGATTGGGTCCTTGGCCCTTGGAAGAAAAGCATGAGGATGAAAATACAGTGATTTGGTATTTGTTGAATTTCTTTCATACATGCCTATTTAATTGAACCCTCAGCTGTTGTAGTGCCATGGATTTAATTGATTTGTGTGAGCTTTGTTTACATCCCAAGGCATGTAAACTTTATATTACTTACATAGTAGCTAATATTGACACGAGGTAATACAGAAGAAATTAATTGAACATTCCATTCTTCACTGCTCATTTTTCCCCAAAAAACTGCTGTTGGAAGGGCTGCTCTGCTGCCAGTCCATGACTCTGAAACCATGGCTGGTGTCCTGCAGCATCCTCTGTATTTCTGTTAGTTTCTTGTTTTTCCAGTGTGCCCAGATTTACACCAGCAAAAAGCCATTTAGTGCCAGCCCTAAACCCTGTTTAAAGAGCATCCACTGACCCCAGCTCAGCTGGTGGAAGTGTGAATCACATGCCAGCAAGCTTTGGGTGGGTGGCAGCAGGGTGGCAGTCCCGTAGCTGCAGGAGGTGGCTGTTAGGGCCTTGGGAAGGTTCCCCATTTCAGCAGTTACTGGGTTTCCTGTTGTGGTTCTCTGTCGCTCAGAATTGTCACAGCCTCGAAGGATACATTCGCTGCTGTGGCTGCCCAGCCTGGGTTTGAATGCAGTCAGTGCTTGAGCCCTGCTGGAAAAACAACCCTGCTGGGCCAAAATGAATAGGAGAGTCCTGCTTCACTGTGATGGTGTAAGTGCCATGTCCATAGGCAGGAGAACAACCCATACACTGAGCCATGGGGTTATCGCTGAGCTGGAATGTAGTTAAAAGTTCTTTTATTTATTTCATTTTTTGATCCAGATTACATGGCATTTGTATTTTATTTCACTAATGCAGTGTAATTGTCCTATTTAGAGGGATATCTCCTGTGATGTTCTATATAGAATGATCTCCTGTTTTGACATTGGTACTACATTCAGTGTCTTGGTGTTCTTCAAATAGAAGTTTTTACTGATGAAATGCAGAAAATGCAGTGCATTATAGCATTGAAACATGTCTGACTTATTTTGCTAGACCCATTTTTTTCCTTTAAAATATTTTTCCCCTTTTCTTTTTCTCTTTTTTTTCCAAACAGGAAAAGAAAATACATTCAGCAGAGATTCTTCTTCATGTAAGTGTTATTTATGCTTGTTTATGAAATTACAAAAAGGCTGAAAAAAAACTCATTAAAACATTCAAATACTGGACACTTACCATCTGTTTGTGAAATCAAGTATAGAGCATGTAAAAATAGGCTGTAGTTATACAGCAATAATGCTCAGCAACTGATATCTTAAATCTGTCTGTGCAGTTCTTCTGTGTGTATCACCACAGAATTTAGAAAACGTTGCAAAGCACTTTGCAGATATTTAAGCAGCATGCCCATAAAACTGGTGTGTAAATCCTGGAGGGATAATGTTATAATGGTTTGCCCAAAGCAGAGGAGACACATAAGTGAGAGCTTGATTTTGCATCCCAGAGCCCTTGCTCCCCACACGCTGTGACAAAGTCAGCTTTTGTGCCTTGGATCCTACAGAATCCAAGTTCTGCCCATAGAGCCATTTGTTGTGTGCAGCTGTGTGCATGTGTATGTATGGTAAGAGAGAGTGTCTGTACGTGTACCTGGCCTCACATAGCCTGTAGGTATTTCAGGCCTTCTCTACAACCTATGGTGGTGCCCTTTAAAGTAAGAGTAGATGCCACCAGCCATTGGTGGGTACTGTTGCAAATGTTTTGTGAAACCATTCGGCTCCAGCCTGGCTCTCGGTCTGGGGAGCCTGTTAAAGTATTCTTCGTGGGACTGAGAAAGCTGCATGGCATAAAAACACAACAGGGTTTTTTTCACACCATCTAGCAACCTGGGGTTTTTTCGCAGATCTCAGCTTTGAAAACTGTTGAGTAGTATAGAAAGCTCTGCTCTGATGTTTCTTCCTAGTAAATAAATCTGATTAAATGTTTTACGGGGCTGCATAGATGAAGACTCTCATTGCCTTTATGCAAAATTAGCTCAGCAAGGAAAACGACTGCATTGTTCCCAATGCAGGGCCCGCTTCGCATAACTTCCGAGCATGTACTGTGTCCAGTGGCATGGCAAGCCCACGAGCACTCACCTCAGGCTGATTTCCCATAAATCAATTTTTTTTTTTTTTTTTTAACAACATGTATCTCGGAATTGCAGCACTCCATTATGCTTGCGTAGCAACTTGCTGGTTAATATGTAGCAAAATGCCGTGTGGTAACAAATGTTTTTTTGCTATTGTTGAGCTGGAATGTTAGTTCAGCTTCTAGATAAAAGTGGCTTGCGCAAGGCGTCCCGGTAGACCATGATTTCTGTGGCTTGTACAGTAGTTCTGTAGGCAACCGTGTTCTGCTCTTCCTCTCCCCTGTGCTTCCCTTCATCTTCCACGTGAGCGAGGGGTGGGCTGACGGAAAGGCAGGAGCTGGCAGCCCTTTGCGTCCTGCAAAACACCAGCGTGGGGTTCTTACGCCTGTTGCTAGTCAAGCATCTGTTGAAAACACTCTTTATTCTGGTTGTGTTGCTAGCAGAAACATTGTTAGATGCTTTATGTAATAGCTTTAAAGCACAAGTGTTCTTTGGCTGGCTTTATGGATAAGACAATCTTTCCAAAAAAAAAAAAAAATTGAAACCAGAGAAATCCCCTACTAAGTGAAGGATACCCCACAAAGGATTAAAGAATCCTCCTTTCCTCCTGCTGGGAATCCTAGCTGAGACTAGGTTAAGCGTTATCTTTGAGAAGGTATATCATCATTTTTAAAAGGTAACAGAGAAGAAAAAAAAATCCAGAAGGTTTTTGAGTAATGAACATTTTTAACATTTGTAGCTCATTATTACTTCATTCTAGAATGGGAAATTCAAATCTCTTGAAAATCCTGTGAAGCATATGCTTCCCATAGATTATAAAGGGCAAAAACCCCTTTAAGGGAAGAAGCTCCCAGATAGAGAAGAACCCAAACAGATGAACCCTACAGCAGTGACTGTATGGTGTCTGGAAATTGCAGAATAACCATGCAGTGCAGATCTAGAGAGTTTTGCTTGGAGATTGCAGTATCCCAAAGAAAATTTCTAAGTCCAATACATACACTATAAAATGATTAATGGAAAGTCAGTGGTCCAGAGGCCATTTGCAGTGCAGCCTTCCATCACATGCTGTGGCTTTTCAACAGCTAGCAGCAAGCTTTGAGCATCAGAGCCTCTCTCCTCTGGTTCTGTGCATGAAATATTATGACTTTAACTCGATAACTCTGTTTGTGCCTGTCTGTGCATTGGCTTCCCTTGGCTTCTACAACGGTGGGAGTTTCCAAAAGAGAGTTAAACTCCAGGGATGGGAGCATTGAGGTGATAGTGAGAGGGCAGGATGGTGAAGCATCCAGGACAGGGATCTCTCCCAGGTCCTGTTCAGAGAGTTGACTCCTGTGGCAGTGAGTGCTCAGTGGGGATTAACCCCTCAGGCCGTGGTTGGGCCGGTCTCTGTGACAGGAGGTGACTACTTTGAGAAGGGGCTCTTTGTGATCATAACCAGCCATATGTAGTTGTAATGATAAGAAAGTGACCATCTTATTTTAGTCACTTTGCGACAAATACTACCACAATTCATTACTTTCCATCAGTGCCTCATCCTATGGAGGAATCACCACTGCCCATCTACATTGAGGAGGGGACAGAAGTCCCGATTGGTGAGTGCAGTTGGGATGGGATTTGTTTAAGGGAGGGTATTAAGGGTACTTGGGTTTTATATTCCTCACATTTGTGTGTACCCGTTTGTCATTGAAAATGGTAAGGTCTGTTGCAAATGTTTTGGGGATTTTATTTTATATTCTTCTTTATTTTCTATTTGGAACTCCTGAGAGTTGTTGAACACTGCTAGCATTGGTTTTCAGTTAAGCATAAATCAAAGTACATAATTTATGCAGTGACATTGAAAGCTTCTGTGCAGGATGTCTTAACACAAGGCTGAGAAAGACCATGAGTATCACAAGAAGTAGTTCCCACTTTGGCCTTTGACCTCAGTGTTGAGGTACTCGGCATAATCTGAGATCTGGGTCAGTGTATTTGTTCTTGCTGACACTCATGCCCAGCACCCAGTAGACTCACATTGTCCACACCACTGCACAGCCTGAAAAGAAGCAGAGAGGTTTGCCATGCTCCTTGGAGTGCTGCACACCCCTAGCTCTGAGCTCTGGTGTGGATGTATTGTCACTACCTGGATGTATAGGTTGAGTGCTGTTTTGGGGTGTTTTTTTAAATAGAGAAGCAGTCTTGAGGATAACCCATTAAATAATGCAACTTAAAGATCAGTAAGTTGGACTGTGGTGATCTTTTTGGACAGTAGAAAGGTGTGATGGCAAAATTTCCAAGAGCCCCATCCTTATACAATCTGTTCTGGACTACATATAGTAAGTGTGCCTTAGGTTTCACCTTGGGAATCTGCCTTGTTGAGCAGATGTGTCTCTTCAAACAACTTTTTCTTATTATATATCCTGAATTTTTCCATTCCTAGATTCAAGCAATTGCTTCTTGTCTTACTACCTTTTGGGCTAGAATAATTACCTTGCTCTATACACAGTACCTGGAAGGTATTTATAGCTGGATCTCAGCCCAGAAGTCTTCTCATTTATAGAACATATTAATCTTAGCTCTCTTACTCTCTCCTTAGATCACTTTTGTTGTCCTTATTTGTATTTCCTTTAATTTTTCTATCTCCTTTCTAATCTGTGGAGACTTGAACAACTCATAATTAGTTCACTGTGGCTGTTTTGACATAGCATTATGCTTTAGATTTCCTATCACCCCTTCCCTTGTCCACATCCAGAAATAGCTTAGCCTTTGACCCTTCTGCATCACTCAGAAACATCACACAGAGAAACTCTATTACTTGGCTAATCTTACCTGCAGTCACCTTTAGGTTATTCTTGGATTCATGGCTTTGCTAGCTGCTCCTCAGGCAATGTTACTGCTCTCCTGGGATGTTGGGCTTTATACTTCCTAACATTAAATCCCCATCCCATTGCATGCCACTTATTTTATCCAGGAATATTTTGAAACAGTGTGCCATTATTTATTTTAATGCCCTGGGATTTTATCATTTACATAGAAGCTGTTACTGTTTTACCGTATGTAGAGAAAAGTACTTAAAATTTTAAAATTTGATACCTATTACAGCTGTCTTTTGCATGTTAGTCCAGACTCATTTCCCAGCTTCATCATTCTTATTTGTCTATCTTCCCTGATTTTCCTTCCTCTACTTAAAAAAGTTCATAAGAACTGGCAGGTTTCGCCTTCTGCTTGTCTTCATTTTGTACCCTTCCTCATTATACAATAAGAATATTGGTTTTGTACCTCTTCTATGCATGGCATGATGTGATCTTTCCCACAGCAGATGATCTTTTCCTCACTTCTCCTGGGGTTGTAGTCAGCTGAACATCTGCTGGACATCAGCCCTCTCTTGTAGAACTGCTAAGGTTCTGTCCTGGCCCCTGGGATTTCATCTTGTCTTTCCCAATGCTCTGAGGAAACCTGGACCACTGAGGTGGTGGCAGCTGCACCACAAAAAATACTGTAAGGCTGACGAGTCACAGAACTGACCAACCAACCAAAAAAAACCCAACTATGGGTGGAAAGCTTTTTAGATGATGTTTGTTCGGTGCTGTCATGAAGCAGGTTTGTTGGATCAGGCTCTGAAGTGCAGCACCAGCTGTGAAACAGCCAAATCGGGTTGGAGAGGGCACTGTGTTTATTTATTCTAAATAAGTGTCTGGACTGTCAATACAGCAAGCTGTGGTTGAGGGGCAATGAGTGGAAAAAGTAAATGATGCAGAGATGAGGGCAAACCACAAGCTCTGAGTTTGGTATCTGAATGTCGGACATGGGTTAGGGCTTTTAGATGCAACATAAATCAAGGAAGCAGCTGCAAAATTCTGGTCTGGGTCTGGGACTCAGTATTGATCCTGCTTTCCGTTGATCTCACCAGTGTGATCCACATCCAGGGTGCCCATTTGTACCTGTACAGACCAGAACAGGAATAAAATAAAGGCCTGTCTGCATTTAGGCTGGAGAAAAATAGCACACAGTGCAGTTGTTAAAGCATTTCATTCAGCACAACCATCATTTACTTTTAAAAGGTTGTTTGGAGAATTTAGATTATTTCCTCATCTGAAACACGTTTTGGCTGCTATATGGCATGCATTTGACCCAGGCCTGACTGGTGGTGGTAAATTGCTTTGTAGCTTCTGTATTTATTAAAAAAAATAGAAAAATCAGTAGACTCAGATTTTTTTCAGAGTCTAAATTTAACGCTAATCATTTCAAGCAATTTTAAAAGGAACATAAATCTCACTTGTTTATTACAGCTGCTTCATGAAAACAGCAGCTATAAATAATGCTCTGTAATGAAAATCTAGCTAACACTGTCATGAATTAGCCAATAAGAGAATGAATGTTTGGGATCTGGGCAAGGGCAGCATTTCCTTCTCTGGCAGGAGGGTCTTTGCATTGAGAAGAAGGTGGTGATTACCTAAATGCTGGTTTTATTTCCTTGAGTGAAATAAAGACTTTGCCATTTTTGCATAGATGAATGTGACTTTTGATTGGAAAAAGGCCTCAGCTCTACCTAATTGTTATGTACTTTTGCCCTTTCATGAATACATTTCTAGAGGAAGGTAGCTGAGTGAGATGTAACAAATATTTTATTAAATCAAAGATATTTATGAGGAGATTGCTAATGGTCACAGTATATTTCCTAAGAACCTATGGAGCAGTGACAAAAAAGTGCAGGTGAAGTGCTGGGAGTCTTGGTTCAGCTATCTCCCACTCAGGAGTTCAGGAGATTCAAGGTGAGGAAATAGGCAGAGCAGGTCCTTGTTTCCCACTGCCATTCATAGTAAAGTCATGGCCATATTCTTCCATCACCATTGTGTTAAATGCTAAAGAAAACACCTGAGATGACACAGTCCAAAATTTACATTTTGTAAAGCAAAAACACAGGGAAAAGTATTTGTATTGGTAATCATTGCGTTTGGTCTGTACAGGAAACCACTGAAGGAATAATTGTGTCCTTGGGGATCAGGAGCAGTAGAGCTTTAGGCTGAAGTGTTTATGTTTTGCCTTCCAAGTCACATTTGAGATGTGTTGTTTCATACCTGTGAAATCAGCTCAAAGACATAGGAATGCATGATATAATTCTCAACTGACTTATTCCAGCATAGTTTTGTTGATTCCAGTAGCATTGCTATTGATTAATTTTCCAAATTAGTCAGAAGTCAGGACTCCTTTTTCAGGAATCAGCCCCGCTGACTTTCAACCCCATTGTACTTCTGCTGCAGTTCTAGGTCCCTACATGGGCAAAATCTAAATTAGCCACTTCCATCCTTCTGATCCACTTTTGCTAATGGGTGGCACTGGCTTCAGTGTACTTTTGTCAAATGCATACAAGGGTTAAGTAGAGTAGCCCTTGCCTCTACAGGATTCTTACCCCAATGAAGTCATCTGGGTATGGTGGAAAGCTCCATTAGCACTCTTGAAGCCATGTTTTCTTGATTGTACTCACAGTCATGGTGCAGCCTGGGCTCATTTGAGGTGTCTTGATTACAAGAGAAGAATTTTCTTGTAATTGCACACAGTTACTGCTGCCACTACTCAGTCTCTGCTTTTAAGCATCTCTGATGTTTTCTTCATGATAAAAATTGGATTTCTAGTCTACTGCTCTTGGGCAGACTCACTCAAAGAGAGAAGCATTGTTACTTTTTATGTTTCCTTTTATAAGAGAAAGTGCCCCCTCTCCAGCCCAGAGTAGTATTTGACAGCCTTCAGAGAGCTGGCTCTGTGTCTCTCTAGGAGATTGCCTTCCCTTGCAGAGAAAAGAACCTTTTTTGTTGCACGTGCTTCATGGTTTGCTCTTTCATGGGGAGCTGGCACACAGAAAGCTTGATTTTTGCCAGGTACTGAGTGCCTTCTGCAAGGTATTGAGTGCCCTCCTATCCTTTGCAGCCAAAAAGGAGTTGATTGCTCTTGGCATCAGCCAAATCTGGACTCAGAAGACCACAGGTAGTATTTACCAATTATTTATGTGCTTTTGCATGCCAGAGTTTGTCTGAATTGATTTTCATTGCATATGAGAGATTTGAGGCGTTAATGACACTTGCCTGCCACTAAAAACACTTTTAAAAATAATAATACAATAATAAGCATGACATTTATTGCATTGCCATGGGGAAATTAAAAACCCCCAAAATTAACTAGAGTCCAAGTAACTATTAGCTCTTCAGAGCTAATGTGTGAGTTATATACCCTGAATGAGCACCATATGCCAGTTCATTGTGGCACAGTGAGTCACAGGGCACACTGTGGAAAGCAGTAATTGCTTGGCATGCATTGAAGCACTCAGTAGGGCTTTTTGTTTGGTTTTCTTAAAGGAATATGTTTTACTCTGACAATAAAATGGGTATTGTCCGATATGTTGCCACCAGGGACTGTTGATTATTTTGTACTTAACCTGGAGCTTGCCCATTTGTTGCTCACCGCAGACCCCCTCAGTAACTTTTGCTTTCCAACTGCTTGTATTGTATGTGTGCAGTACCAGAAGAGTGAAGAGTGAGCCTTCCATTTGGTATCATCTTGTCATTTTATATTAATCCTCCTCTCTGTTTTCCTCCTCATCTTCTTTATTTGTCCAATAGAAACATTCAGATTGTTTATACAGAATAAATGTTCATCCTGATCAGAGTGAAGCAGTGGGACAAGTTGCACAGTGATTGTGCCGTCTCCACACTTGGCCAGAGCTTGGCCATCAGCAAGCCAGTCTAATTTTGATATTGGCCCTTCTTTGAGCAGGAGGCTGGGCTATGTGACCTCCAGAAATGCCTTCTACCCTGAATTACTTTATGGTTCTGTTTAACACCCACTTCCTGTACTGATTCAGCCATAGTGCTGTGCATGTCATTTACTCCTCACTCCCTGTCATTCATACCTGCATAGAACAGGAGCGACCTCCTGAAGGTCAGTGAGGTGACAGAGGTTTTACTTACATGGGAACAATATCAAGATGTAAACGGTGACCTCAGATGAGATTAGTAGGTGAAATTTAGGCATCTCTGAAATTATTTGGAATTTGTAACAGGATTTCACTTGAGCTCTCTTCAAATCTTCAGTAAGTTCCAATTGAAGCTAACAAATGAAGAGTTTGAAGCATAATTATATCAGGATGATAAGTACTTAAAAGTAAATATCACCTTATTTTTCCTTTTCAGTGACAAATCTTATTCTCTAGCAGCCTTGAAGAGATGTTTGGGGTGTTTAGGATTTAGTGGGCCACCAACTGCCCTGGCTGGGCCATTGCGTGCTGGTTTCCTCATGCAGCCGTAACCACGTCAGGGAGTTAATGCTGCACCGAGCATCTGCTCCTCAGCTCAAGGCCCTCCCAGCCCTGCAGCTGTCTGCCAGAAAGCTGGGACGTGCACAGGGGCATCTGCGAGCTCCATCGGGTAGCAAATTTTCATGGTCAGCCCATATGTTAGCCAAAAAAATGCCCTTTGTCAGAACAATGTTATTTTAATTGTGCTGAGAGAAAGCAAGATCCCACTCAGATTCACCATATCAGTCTAGGGGATTTTGAACAATGCTGTAGCTATTCTAGGGAAAAAAAAAACAAACAAAACCAAAAAAAAAACCCAAAAAACAAACACCTTCAGAAACTCCCTTGGTGGAAAAAAGAAATGGGAATATTTCATAGGGTTTCTCTTTCACGTTTGACAAGATAAGGTGCTTTTCCTCCATCTCTCTAATTTATCAACAAGAAGTATATTTCTTATGTAAACACCTGGTTTTCTATCAGGTTCTATCAAAAGTAAAGTGTACAACTGGGGCTCCATAGTGGATTGAAGAAGGACTAAATATGAGCAACCAAAAGCTTTTGTTTTCCCCTTTTATACAAGGCAGGATTCTAAAATCAAGATTTAACAGGATAGACTTGCTTTCATTGCTGCCCTTCCTTTTCTTCCTCACCTCATACAGATCCTGCTTAAATGATGCAGGGTACTGCTCTTTCAAGTGTGAAAAGGGTTTTGTGCCAGGTCGAGGGGATATAATAATGGAAGATACTGTTGCTCAGTAGGGTTGAAGTGCCCTTCTCCACTGCTCTTTGTGCAGTACACAAGCAACAGGTTACAAGTCAAATTTCGTGGACAGATAGTATCCAAATGTGGAACTTCATGCTGTACATCTGACTTTAGATCACCTAGGTGATTTCTCCTTCTGTAAAGCTATCACAAGTTCATGTAGCTCTTGTAAAGGTCACCTACAAAAATTCAGACAAGTCAACCAAATAAGTCTCTCACTTTCTACCATTAGTTTGCATGTGATGTGTTTTTGTTGCTATCTCAGCTGCTTCTCAGGTGCCTATTGTTTATAGTGGAACTGAAACAATTTCCCATTTGTCCATTATTAACTTTTGCATAAGAAAACCAAGTAGTGAAATATAATTGTAGTCATGATGAAGACAGCTTTAGATACTAGTGTGCCATATTGGTATCCTATTTAAGTGTGTTCGCAAAGATGAAATTGCACTAAGAAAAATCCTCAGCTGGTAACAGGAGTAAGTTCAGTTTATAGTACTCAGGCCAGGACTATAAAAGCAACCTGTAATGAAATCATCAGCTAGCATTTGTTTGAAAAGGTAAGAGGAGATGGAGAAAAATAGGCTGTTCACATAATGTCATGCTGTATTTGGGGAAGCTTACCTGCAAAAGCCAACAGAAAAACAAGTAAACAAGTGCCTGTAGCCTGTGGGATTCACCCCGGTATAAAGGTGGGACTGCAGATACTTGTGCCTTGTGTTGGAGTCAGCCTTTGCTCTAAAACAATTCCCTTTAGAGACAGCAGTTCAGGAGTGGATTCTGTGGGGCTTTTGTCCAAGTAGGGTATGGGCCCAAGGTTTTGTTCCTGCTTGGTGTGTGCCCTGCACTTTGCAGACCGTGGTATGCAGAAGTGGTTTATGTGTTAGTTTCCTTGGAAAAGTGAAGTATTTGTTCTGGCACTGTTTGGTTTTCATATCTCTTGACATAAAAATGAGCACAGTGCTCAGTCTATGAAAGCAAATGTCAGAGACCCATGGCAAAACTGAACTGAAAATACACCTCTGGTTGGGAATCAGTCTGAATCACATGGTATTTAAAAGCACTGTGGTTTAGTGGTCAGTACTAAAGGTTTTATTTGCAACTCAGAACTTCATTTATTTTGATCGAATAATGCCCATTGCAAGGCCTGTAGGACATAGTGGTATTCCTTCCCAAATGCCCTCCAGGAGCACAGTGAGTGGCTCTGGGCAGCCAGGGAAATTGAGAGGATGGGGCTGCAGCTGGAGACAGAGCCAAGGCTGTTCTGGGATTAAACAAAACATGCCATTGTCTGGCTGTGCAAGCCAGCACCTGGCACCAGCTGCAGGAAAGCAAATAAATATCATAGTGTCTACAGAGCTTCACTTTTTTGTGTGTGAAAGTCTATGTTTCACCAATCTGTTTTGCAAAGTTTTGCTCTCCCTGAGCATCAGCTTTGCCACTTCTTCTTTTCGCATGTCTCCTGCAGACCCGCCCGCGCTGCTGCGCTGCCGTGTCAGTGGTTTCAATTTCCTGTGTGAAAATTCATATGCCTAAAGTTTTTGTTCCCTTTTTTTTTCTTGTTTTTTGCTTGAAGAAAAGAAAACAACAGCAGTAAATTAAACCTCAAGGTGCTTAGGAGATTTCTGTGGCTGAAGGCCTGTGAGCTGAGGTGCCCTGGCAGAGCACCCCAGTCACCTGGGTGCCCTGGTTCATCAGCAAAGGGTTGATACTCCACTTCTTAAAAGATTACAGCTCATTTCTGTCACTGAGTCATATTTTTGCTGATATTTACTGCCAGCATGGAGGAGAAGTCAAGGCTAAAATCAAAAGTAGCTCGCTCTCACCATTAAGTTTTAGTGCTCATGGCCCAGCCCTCAGGGCTTTGTAACCTGCTCAGATTTTATAGCCCTGTAATGGGACTAACACTGCGGATCGCGTGCGTGTAATAGCTGTTTTCCTGGTGCAGGTTGGCTGGCTGCTTTCCACCCACAGTGCCCTGTTGCACAACTCTTCCTTCCATTAATGTATTCTAGAAAAAAAAAATCAGGTGTTGGGCAGATGGGGCATGGGAACAAAGGAGAAGAAAGGATTATTCCCTTCCACTGATGGTGCAGGGATCTAGATTTCTGGGAATAAAGTACTGTATGACATGTTTGTACAGCTGCCACAGGTGGGATGAAAATCTGTCCTCAGTTATTGTTCAAGATGAATGGATAGAGGCAGTAAAAACATAACTGGCTTTGTGTGGAGGTAGCCTAGGCAGGTATGGCAACAGCTGATCAAAGCCCTTGCTGGGTATAGAAGACACTACTTGTTTTTCCAAAAACATGTAATCTTACACATTCATTTGTTTTTTACCTAGTTAGAAAACCTAATGAAAAAGTACAGTACTCCTCAATTGTGAGAAACCCCGAACATTAGTATTGGCAAACTGAGTTAATTTAAGGCTAAATTTAGAATTAGTGTGAGAGAAAAAATGGGTGAGGGTGAAATTATTTATCCCCAAGAAAAAACTACTTTGATATAATGAATTAATATATTTTATTGCACATTTGCCTCACTAAATGACTACTTTATTGTTTATCTTCCCTGCACAGGGGCAGTGCTCCATTATTGTAGCATGGAAATTGCTGTCTGACATTATCGTGTGTTGCAAGTGCCTTGCAGAAGTGTCACATATGATCAATACACTATTAATCACATGCAAAAAAATTCAATAGGCACAGTGCACACCACTGACTGAGTTCATAAGCTTTGTGAGCTTTAGGGGGTTTGCCTTTTTTTATAGCAGGATGAAGGACATCCCTTAATTGATTTTGCTGTGGTTTGTTTGTGGCAATAGAAATTACTTAATTAACACCAGGGCTTGATAGAGAATTGCAGTCCATTCAGATACAGAGCTTCAGAATTGGAAGCAAAATAGGACAGTGCTTGTTCCCTTGGTCTGAAGGT